AAACCCTAAACCCTGAAACCCTCTAAACGCAGACTGTGCTGCGCATAGTGAGAGGCCGGCGGTGCTATGAAGGCCACATGAACAGCCTGGGCGTCTTTGCATTGACATTATAGGTTTGGGGTTTTAGGGTTTAGGGTTTATAGGGTTTTAAGGTTTAGGGCTTCAGGGTTTTGGGTTTTGGGGTTTAGGGTTTATAGGGTTTTAGGGTTTTAGGGGTTTAGGGTTTTAGGGGTTTAGGGTTGTAGGGTTTAGGGTTTTAGGGGTTTAGGGGTTCTATAGGGTATATATTGGGGCTATATAGGGATAATAATGGAAAAGAAAATAGAAACAGCCTGCTGTCTTGGTGGTAAGGTTGCCTTTGAGTGTCATCATAGCTCTCTTGTTTTTTTTTTTTTTTACGGGTAGTGTCGGCGCCCAATGACAGTTGTACCCTCAGTGAACATGGTTGTCTTCACGTTAGGACGATGTCGGGTTTCCCTGACCTGCTTGCCTCACATCCCTAGTTGAGGAATCGAACTTTTCACGGCAAAATCGTATCAAGCGCAGATCAAGTTCTGGGAAAAGAGGGATGCTTACGAACTGTCTTCCCGTCTGCTGCCGTTCGTAATCTTGCTGCTACTAAGACTAGCACCCAAGGCTACTACTTCTTCTTCGAATATTTACAGTTGCTTTCGCCCTCAAAGCCGTGGCAATAATTCTGAATGCTTTGCGACTTGCTATACTCCCTAGGTTATAAAAACAAACCCGGTCACGGAGGCGCTGCTCCATGCTAGCAATGTGCCAAAGAGGGAGGCCCACATGGCGCGCGACAAGCCTGTCTGCGCTCGGATGGACGGCTAACTCTGAACCCTTAAAGGGAACCACACCTCTGAGGATCTCTTACCCTGCTCCTTAGACGCACAAGTAGATGTGGTTCTCGCAATATGGAAAACCTGTTCCGTTCCTGCCCTCAGTTTGCGCGTGGTAACACATGGCAGTTTTCATGTACACAGTGAAAGCAGCTGCTATGCCCAGCCCAAGCTTGAGACAACTGCAGCAGTCAGGTTCCGGCAGCATGAGCTGTCTTCTAGGTGCACGAGTGAAGGGCTGGAGCATTCATCTACTCCAGCGACTGCTACTGCTACTTTTGCTACTGCTGCTACTACTGCACAAATGCTACTGGCGTAGTTAAGAGTGCTACTTGTGCTACTGCTGCTACTACTGCTACTAGCGATTGGTGTTACTAGTGCTACTAGTGTAGTTACTAGTTCTACTACTAGTACTGCTTCCACTGCTGCTATTCCTGCCACTGCTAGGGCGTCATACTGCTACTGCCTTTTCTGCTTTTGCAGTCGCTGCTGTTACTACTGGCTGCAACTACTGCTGCTACACCTATTGTGCAACTTCTGCTGCTCCAACTGCTTCTACTATTATCCTCATGACCATGCTATCATCACCACCTGAGGGAAACTCAACACTTAGGGCACCGGCGCAGAAATCTCAGAAGCAAATACCGCCTGCTGGCACAGGCTGGGTGCGTCAGAAAGCTTTGAGGACGCGTGCTATTGTTGGTACTAGAAATTCAGCATGACCTCAGTATGCTACTTAACTATTATTATTCCGAATGTATAAGTTACTTAGGGTCATGCAAGATTTCTAGTACCCACCGTAGCACCCCCTGGCCGACCGCATGAAGAGCGTGCTGAAATCTATTGGTAGCTGCTCAATATCAAGGCCCAAATTACGCTATGCACTAACCATACGTAGCTGCAAAAGGGCGCCTGCGACTACGCGGGGTTTGTGGGAGGATCGATACTCGAACATGATTAGATCCATCCCTGGGTCCCTGATTAGAGGGTACCCTTCAAGCCCTAAACCCTTAACCTCCCCATGTAACCCTTGTAACCGCTTGAACGGGATCCCCCTTGTTTTGAGAAACCTTAAACCCTATACCAAAAGCCCCAGACCCTATACACTAAACCTTAACCCCAAACCCTAAAACCTCCTATACCCTAAATCTTAAACACTAAATCCTAAACCCGAAAACCCTAAACCCTAAAACCCTTAACCATGTCTTCTTAATCTGCCTGGGAGATACTCTCTTTCGTGAAGGCGACGGCCCCGTCCTTGGAGTGAATTTGACCTCGGCCATTGCCCAGGTTTGGGGTTTAAGGTTCAGGGTTTAGGGTTAAGGGTTTGGGGTTTGGGGCTTAGTGTTTTGGGGTTAGGGTTTGGGGTTCAGGGGTTAAGAAAATTGAAGCTGCTATAGGGTAAATATAGGAACACAGGTTTAGGGATTAGGGCTTTTAGTAGGGTTGAGGGATACTAGCCCTATTAATGTTGAATCAAATGGCAAATAACATGAAAAGTGACATGCAAACCCTAGATCCCCTTAAAGGGGTATATGGCGATATATAGGGATACCAATAACGGAGAATCACATTGAAAAGAAAATGGAACATCAAATGGAAGCTGGGTTTATCATGGGCTCCTCTACCTGCCCCTTGTACTTGGGTTCCTCTACCTGCCCCTTGTACTGACACGGGTTTAGGGTTTAGTAGGTCACCCCTTAGTAGGCCTTGACTGCCCTAATTATTCACGGTTTATGTAGGTACTATTCAGAGATTACATGGGGGAAGCACTCCTCCAGTGGAGATGGCGCATGGTGGGGACCCTAAACCCTGAACCCTAAACCCTAGGGAGATGTACAGCAACCCTGCAGTCCACCCTGCCAATGAGAGGGTTCTCTTTGCGAGGGTATAATACCTAGATGTTCCCTCTGTAATCCCTATATCTTATCAAACCTGCATTTTCCCTCATAACAGTAAGAAAAATAATAGCCCAAAACACCTGAACATAGCCCAAAAGGCAATTGTTCCACATACTTTTGCGGTTCAGGTAATGACTAGACTCTAGACCTTCGATCCTGAGAGCCTCGCCCAGGAGGTTTATGGCAACGTCGTGCACCGACTGCTCCAATGTAAAGCTGCGCACCTCACTCGGCTGCTCATCGATGGCAAGCTCTTGTTGATGTTTTAGGGTGTAGGGTTTTGGGCTNNGGGTTTCAGGATTCGGGGTTTAGGGATCCCAACATGGTCCAGGTGGCTGAGTCTTGCGTGAAAGGCACATGACAGAACCCTGGAGACAGCAACCTTATTTCGCCAAGAAGTGCTCCC